TCGTCCTCTGCAATAGTCGTAACCCAAGTAGCAGTAGCTCGCCCGAAAACACAGCAAGGGTATTTGAAGATACACCAACTACCAATGCTCGAAAGAGTCTTGCCTAACCACGGTACTTATTTCAGCTACCGACCATACTAACCAACCAAGTCACTTTACTAACTGAGAGTGATCTTGCCTCACCACCTATAGGATCAAGAAAAAAGTCTCAGTCTGTCAAACCTTGCCACGTCGGCCTGGGCCTCACTTGTTAACAAAATCATCAAATCAGCTCCACTTCACCACTTATGAGCAGCTAAACGACCCCTTCAATTTTTCTTCTTTTCGCCCTCTCCTTTTCCTTCCTTTGGTTTCACCTCCCTCTCACTCTCTCCTTCTCTCTTTCCCGTGCCGATGCTTCCATGCACACTCTCCTGCCGCTACTACAACTGCCTTGTATCTGCTAAGTTTCGCTAGGTAGGCAGCAGCACTACCATCTTGCACTGAGAACGACCATAGCTAAACGAAACGGATGGTCATGACTGGAAACTCAGTAAACATGGAAGATGGAGACCGCTACAGCAAAAGGATAATTGGAAAGAGGTAAGCACTATCACACTCTTTGATGACTGCAACCGAGTAGGTACCAACAACTAAGCTTCTACCTCATTTCTGTAATCTCAAGAATGGCCACAACTTTCTTACCAGGGATTATTATGTAGGAAAACGGCCACTGTTTACAAGAAGAATGCACAACGCTTGCACCCACAAGCCTGAACACAACGATCCTCTTGTCGAGCACAAGCTTGGGGGTGAGCACTGCGAACAGCACGATATCGGAAGTGAGATCATCACTACCAAAATGGCGAGGAGGAGGATGTTGTGATGATCTGGATTCTTGACTCTACCACTCCTCAGACATGTAAAAATGAGAATGAATCTTCCGCGGGAAGTGGACAAGTTACACCGCCAGTCTTAACGTCGGGGCTATATCGGTAAGCTTCCTCCTCCCTGTTCTACTTATATCGCCTTCACCGCACCTCCCCCATCTTCAACCTTGTTCCCAACTTCTACTTTAACAATCTCTCTATTTACTTCTTCTTTCATGGCGCACCTGACCAACCTCTCGTCCATGTTCATGCAACCTCTTGTTTACTTTGGCGGGCCCAACATCACGCGTAGTGACGATCTCGAACGCTCGAGCAACCTTAATGAGCACATCAATCACGATCACAATGGGGATGACCGCCCCATGGAGACACTCAGTACGATCATGATGGATGCAGGTGAGTAGCTGAAAGACAAAGCCCAGCTGAAATAGTGATGAATGCAAGTGGGCACGTCTCGCACGATGAGCACGAGGGACCGAACACTCATGATGGTAACATGAGGATCGTCCCCACGATGGCGAATGCTATGGACTGCGTCGATCCTAATACTAGCCCGCAATTATAACCGTCCCTCACTTACTCATAAAATGGGCCAAGAGAGAATGAAATTTCCCCTAGATTTGAGAAGATTCATTGCTACTTGTTTTACTCGATGAAAAAAAAAAAAAACGCAGCCTCTAACCTTGATAACGCCAAATCCGGTGCTCAGATTCAAAATCTGGCGCGGCCATCTGATCAGGACTGCCTCAAAACCTACGATTAACATCTTCTCTTGGTCATTTTCACCAAGAAATGAGGAAGATACACCATCTCCCTTCTCCCTTCTTCTTCCTCCCTCGACATCTCCGCGCACCCCTTCTTCTCCACTAACTCCTACCCCATTAGACTAACTCCAAAATTGCCCTCACTATCACGTTCGCCCTGTGTGAAACCCTGAATTCGGTTCTTAGTTTGTCGAAATCCATGAGGATTTGAAGACGCTATGTTCTTTCCGCCTAGTCACCCCCTCTTCTTTTCCATCACCATCTTCTTCACCTGTTTGGAATGCATCTGGCGCGAGCCAAGTCCAGGTGCACTCTCCCTACTTCTTCTTTCACCGCCCCTTTTCTTCTTTTGTGTGCCTTCCTCCCTCCTGTCTTTGTAAGAGATGGTTAACGAGTGCATATATGTTCAGGTCTCCTTTTAGGCATTTCAACCACGTTAGGTTACTACACTTTTGGATTGTGTGTAGATCTATACATGGGGTTGTCTGAAACCTCGTTCAGGCAGTTCATCCACTTCAGGTTGATATATTGCAAATGGTGGGAACGGGGTACCTGAAACCCCTTTCAGAAGCTTTAGCCACTTCAGCGGTTTCAGGTCCCCACCTGAAATTCCTGAAATGACCTGAAGTGGCTGAAGCTTCTGAAAGGGGTTTCAGCCACTTGAGCGGTTTCAGGTCCCCTCCTGAAATTCCTGAAATGTACTGAAGTGGTTGAAGCTTCTGAAAGGGGTTTCAGGTATCCCTACCATCTTCTTCACCTGTTTGGAATGCATCTGGCGCGAGCTAAGTCCAGGTGCACTCTCACTACTTCTTCTTTCACCGCCCCTTCTCTTCTTTTGTGTGCCTTTCTCCCTCCTGTCTTTGTAAGAGGTGGTTAACGAGTGCATATATTTTCAGGTCTCCTTTGAGGCATTTCAACCACTTTAGGTTACTACACTTTCGGATTGTGTGTAGATCTATACATGGGGTTGTCTGAAACCTCGTTCAGGCAGTTCAGCCACTTCAGGTTGATATATTGCAAATGGTGGGATCGGGGTACCTGAAACCCCTTTCAGAAGCTTCAGCCACTTCAGCGGTTTCAGGTCCCCACCTGAAATTCCTGAAATGACCTGAAGTGGCTGAAGCTTCTGAAAGGGGTTTCAGCCACTTGAGTGGTTTCAGGTCCCCACCTGAAATTCTTGAAATGTACTGAAGTGGTTGAAGCTTCTGAAAGGGGTTTCAGGTACCCCTATCCAACCATTTGGATGGGGGTACTTGAAACCCCATTCAGAAGCATTAGTCACTTCAGCGGTTTCAGGTCTCTTCCTGAAATTCCTGAAATGACCTGAAGTGGCTGAAAAAACAAGCAAAAAAAAAAAAAAAAAAACCATAAAACTTGTCCCGCAGACCACCCAAAACTTTTGAAATGACCTGAAGTGTCTTCAGGCCATTTCAGCGGTTTCAGACCACTTCAGAATCTTTCATTCTGAAATTTCAGGTGGTCGTTAACCGCGAGTGGTCTTTGTCCCCCTCATTCTCTTGCTCGATTGTGTGTTAGCACGCGCGCTACTCCTTCCTCACATCTGCGTTTTCTCGTCTCCCCCAATCTAGCTCCGCACCCAGTAGCGGGGAAGGTTGTTGTGGCCTGTGTTCGACAACTTCGAGTATCCTGAGGGCATCCTGAGAGTGAGCCCGACAACTAGTCGGTGTGATTAGTCTCTCGCCTTTATACCAAAAACTGGCGAATGATTTGCACGACAGTGTTGCTGACGAAAGGCACAATGCGCCCCGCCGGATTCACAAGGCCGCGACTCCTGACCTGATCAGGGTCAGCAGTTGCCCACCCTGAGACATCTCTCGCCCTTGTCAAACACTCAGCCACACATGGTCCCCTTTCGTAAGACTTTATGAACACAAACAAGGCTTCCCATACCACTCCCTTACTTGGTAAGGAGTGTCTCTAAAAAAAAAAAAAAAAAAAAAAAAAAAAAAAAAAAATTCACAGTCATCTCTTTTTTGTATGGGATGACTCCTCACACGACCTCTTCCAAAACCATGAAGGGGCCCCCATGCAATGCATTTCCCACCTTCCAGGACCATGAAGGGGGTCTTAATCACCAAATAACTCAAACTGAGGGACCACCTTCTGGGTCCTTATACAACTTAGGCACGATGTTTAGTACGACCAAACATGCAAATTCCTAAATTCACCAATCCCGTAGGATTCTCACAATTTTTCACAATCAGGCTGCACTTCCCCTCCTTATACTCTGCCCTCTCGTCCGCTTGCACCAGACCGCACGAGTATACCGGAGGGTAGACAGCTTTACCATTTACACAATCATGCCCATGAGATGTATCGTGTACTCTTCTCAAACAAAGCCAATCATACATCAGGATGAATCTACACATGTGAGAGTGATAGTGGTTATCACAAGACAAGTCCCATAGGATCTCAATTCATAATACACTCAGGGAGTAGAATGCCTCCCTCAATCAGTCGAATACAAGCATTCAACTCAATGCCCCGCCTGTCTGAGTAGGATTCATAACCCCACTGTACACTCACCAAATATGCTCGAGAACATAGCATCCACCTAACATACACAGAATGGTCAGCCCCTGTCCTCCCCCGCTGGGAAAACTCACATCCCGAGTGCTAGAAACTCCCAAATCCCATTCAGAGCAGCAATAGCTTCTAAATCACAAAACCAAATGTAATCAAATGGTCTCATATATCACACAGCTGAGTCCTACCCTTGGGTCGTAGCCCACGAAGAAACTCAAGAGGAAACAGGCGAACAAAAGTCACACACATATGTACAATCGGATAGAAACTCATCCCACCACTCCTACGCATACACACATCTAGGGACCGCTCAACTGACTCAAGGTATGTACACCCCTAACCCTGCCCTGGGTGTGTTAAGGATCTCTAGTCCTATCAATATATAGACAGATCGATCCCTACTTACACAATTTCTCCTGGTTCTGCCTATACAACTGAGCCCTGCCCCCATCTGGAGCTCGCTCCACTATCCTACCCTGTCTGTCATAGAATTTGTCGTCGACCTCTGCAACTCGCCCCTCGGCCTTATTCTCAAGGAGCTCTGGACAGTCCACGACTCTATGTCCTCCCTCCTTGCACGAAAAACAAGAGGTATCATGCCACCTAGCAGTCTTCTTCTTCTTCCCTTGCGAACTGGATGCCGAAGGCGCTCCTATGGTCCCTGTAGTCACCTCGTGACACGAGGGCAACCCCACATGGCCCTGAGGTCCGGGCTCCATAGCCTCAACACCTCCACCCCTTCGTGCAGCCGCACTCCCTGGCCCGCGCTCTGGCATATCCAACTCTCGGGGTCCCTCTTCATGCGCCCTCTTTGTCATCATCGCCTCATTCTTACATACTCCTGACGGCTGAGAGCCCCCCATAGCAGCGGGCTCACTCATGACCTCCTGCTGCTATTGCCGTCGCGAGTCAGGCCCTCCTGAGTCGGTCCCCGTGGTCCAGGAGCCCAGCTCCGCCCTCAACTCCCCCAACCTCGGGGCATGCTCTGGAGCGTCGAGTCCCTGAGGCCCCTCCTGTGGAGTGCCTATCCCCATGGCTACCGCCAGCTCATGCAAGTGCGAACCTCTCCTCTCCGTGGACATAGCCATAAGCGACTCCTGCGCGCCACTCTCCTCCTCGATTGCGTCCAAGGCCGCCTCCTCCATTGGCTCGGCTTGTCGAGGGACCTCCACCGCTGCTCCCTGACCCGGCGAAGCCTGCACCCCTCGGCCCTGGCTATCGGCACCGGCTCGCCCCATCTGGCTAGCCTCCYAGGCTGCCGAGAGCCTAYCCACAGCGGCCGCCATCTCCMCAAATCTCCTCTCCCASTCAACCTCTCTAGCCCTRCTCCTCGCCCTCTCCTCGGCAAGCTGMGTAGTCAGGTGCTCCACCTCCAACTCCTTAACYMTGAGCTCATTGYTGAGTAGATTATACCACTGRAAGGATGTGACTGCCGTCTCGCATACCCTCCGATCCATGCGCTCAATCGCCTGCCTGGTCGCGGAGAACCCCAAGTCCCCCATCTCTCTCAACTCACTCRTCTYCTCGTCCGCCTGTCCYGCCTCTCGTGACCTCWGGCGGGCTGCATCCCTCTGGCTCTCATACCTAGCCCACAACTCGTCGATCCTCTGCTCACTCGTCTTGGGCTCGACCGGCGGTGTCGGCTCTATCCCCGCCGCCTCCATCTCAGCCTGTCTTGTGTATATCTCGTCCAGACGGACCCGCACTCGAGCGGACTTCTCTTCGCGGGTCTCTCTTGGGGTTCCTTCCACTCGCGGCCCCTGGCCTCCTGGAGTTGACGCCTCCGCCTCCATCCTTTTGCTCGCGCACGACAGTACTAGCGGTAACTCTGCTGAAACGGGCTCCTTGATATCTGGGCTCTTGGTCACCTGTGTGGCCAAGGGCAAGTCAAGGGGCACCTCCATCCTCGCTCTCTCACACACTCCCCGATTCTTCGCCTCTGCCTCTTGCTCAGGTATAGTGGTGGCCTTAGGGGGAAACTCCGGGATCTCCTCGCTACCTGGCTCAGGAATCCCCTCTGGCCATGAACGTTGTGCTGGCTCTGGAGCTGGGGAGCATGGAGGGGTATCGTCCCCAACCGTGATCACCTCTCTCCCCTGAGGTCGTACCGGATCCGGCCGCTCGGCTGCCATCTCAGGGTCCTGTGGCTCCTCTCGGTCTCGCATGTTTGTCTCCATCTCAGGGTCGAGGGGCTCCTCCAATGGTACGTAGCATGCCGGCTCAACTGAGCCCTCTCCCAGTCGTGAGGCCTCCCATTGGGATACATCAAGATGCGTCGCCAAGCTTCAGAATGGCGTCTCTCTTGGTATGTCCAGCTCCTGCGTTGATGGCAATGGTGAGGGCAGCCTCAACTCCTCGCTCGTAATCCGCCGAAACTCAACCGCCCGGAGGCCACAAGCAGGGAACGACTCCCTTGCCAATGCGGGCTCTACGGGCTCATCCTCCCGCTGGGTCGGGGTTCCGCTCCCCTCTCTGGCCAGCCCCGCCTCTCTCGGTGCCGGTTCCCTTGGCCTCTTGCTTCGCCGCAGCCACTCAACTCAGGGCTCGTGCCTCTCGTGTTGTGGCCGTCCGAACGCCCTCCTAAGCTGGGCCTGACAGTCCTCCCAGTATCAAGCCCTCTCCTAAATCTGCTTGATCGCCTGCTTCTCTGCCCGCCTCGTCCAGATAAGTAGGGCCTGCACCCATTCCCCCTACGCAACCCCCAGACTCAACATGTAGTGCTCATATGCAGGGATGAACTCATCTGCGTTCCCCTCCTCCAATCGAATGGGCATGCCGTCACACCCCCTAGGGGAAGCTCTCAACCTCTGCATCCCAGCCTCCACGTCTGGCCAAGTCAGGGCCTCCTCACATATCTGAGCGACGGGCTCCTCGAACCGCCCTATGCCCCTCAAGTGGTGAATCCTCTCCGCCACTGACCACCCTCTCTGTGCCGCATGGTCCCGATATACGTCCAAGAAGAGCTCAATGTTGCGTCATCAAACTCAGGCGTAGGCTCCCTTCTATGAGGCTCGTGCTGCTCGCCCTTTCCCTCCATCCTCTGCATGACTGCCTTCGAAAAGTCACACCTGCACCACAGGCGAGAGGCAACAAGCATGCACACAGCAGGGTCAGCAACCGAGACATCGGCCTAGGGAAATCCCACATACACTCCACACCCATCCATCCCAATCACCCACCTGTCTAGCCGTCCGACCTGGGCAATACCTAGGCAAGACTCTATCTCTAACGAGGTCTCATGGCCCCTTACCTATTCCCTGGCCACGAACTTCTTCAGCCTTGTCCCTGAGACCCAGTCCTGCCATCCTGCCCCGTCCAGCTCCTCAATTTGGTAGGCCCCAAACTCGCCACACCGCACGATCCTATAGGGTTTCAGCCACCGTTTGTTGAGTTTCCTGGACCACTGCTTTTCCAGCGAGGAGTCATATAGCAGCACCACATCCCCAACCTTCAGTGGATCCTTCCTTATTCGGGCCATCTGGTCCCACCTCATCTTGTCTTCCATGCTACTTCTCTCCATCTGACCAGCGGTCTCTCGTAGCCTTTCTTCAGCGGCCCCCACCTACCGTGCTCGTATATCGAGCAGCTCCTCAAAGGACAGGTTCACTTCCAGATCCTGGCGCCTCCACGTCTTCATGAAGCTTTCTATGGGAAAGGTGGCATGCCTTTCGTACCATAGCGTGGCTGGCGCATACTTGGTAATCCTTTTCACTGTAACATTTTCCACGAAGAATGCTGCTCTCAGGAATTTCGGCCACTGGTTAGGCTTCCCTTCAGTCCATTTGACCAGGAGATTCGTGATGGTACTATGCCCCCTCTCCACAGGCGCGTTTGCCTGGGGGTGCGCGGCAGTAGTGTAATTTGCTACCACGCCGTACCCCGCAAGCAAGGTCCGCACTTCGTTACAAGTAAACTCCGACCCCCGGTCCATCACAAACTCTCTGACAAATGGATAGCGCAAGTAGTACTCTTCGATGCACCTTGCTAAAACGGGGCCAGTTTTTGTGCGGATAGCCCGATCGTCCACAAACCCAGTAAGGTTGTTCCGTGCATCGAAGATATAGTTACTTCCATCCTCCCCAAGTGGCATGAACAACAGGTCCAGGTGTACAACTGCCCCCACTTCCCTTTCCAACCTAAGGTGTAGAGGCTCCCCAGGCCTTTGCGCTGACCTCTGCTGACAAGGCACACAGGATTGGCAGTACTTGATGACCATAGTCAGCATTCCATCCCAATGGTATAACTCACTTATCTTCGCGCATGTGGCACTAACCCCTCTTCGCCCCCCTGCTGTACCATCGTGCAAGGCTGCTATGACATCGATCTGCCGGTTCCTTCCACATACGACCCTCTTGGGGTTTTCAACTTGTCGCTTTATGAACAGATGGTCATCTCTCACTACGTAGAGATGCCTCATCTTTTGGGCTTTGGCACTTGCGTCCCTATCCCTTATTTCGCACGACAGGAGTAACCCCAATTCCCGATAAATTCCATCATACTCCTCAGCACGGAAGGCCTCCCTAATCTCTCCCTCTTCGAACTCGTCGTCCTGACTTTCAGGAATGAGAAGTTCGCCCTCTTCGGAGCTGACTGCGCTCCTCTGGTCAAAGTTTCCTTGCAGGAGCGTGTTGGTGAGCAAGTACATCCCTCCCATTAGTTGCTCATGCTCCTCTACCTGGGTCGGGCCTTCCTCTATCGTCCTTACCTCCTCCGCTAGACTATGCGTCCTTGCCAATGCTAACCTCATCATCCAGCCAACATCCCTACTCCCCCACAGATTTTCTTCCTTGAAGGGTTTGAGGACCAACTCCTCCTTCTACTCGTACCCCCTTGGTGATAGCCATATAGGATGCGTGACACAGCTAGGCACCCTCAGCGACCACTCATTTATATGGAGGCGGACATCCTCCTCCTGATCCAAGAACCCGTCAACTGGTGGGGTGTCCTCAATTGACTCTTGACCCGCCCCATCCCAGGTGATATGGCTCAGCCCATCTACCCTGTTCTTGTCCCCGGGAATCCTCTCCAACTCAAAGTTAAACATCCAAATGTAGGTCAACCACCTCGCGATGGTTGGGTCAGATGGAGTGTAACTTTTCAGGGAACACGCAAGCGGAGTAGGGTTCACCCTCAAAATGAGTCTCCTGCCAAAGATGTAGTTACGAAAGGTCCTTAGGCAATGGAGCACCGTTTCTTTCTTGAACTGCGAGGAGTTTCTTTCAGTCGTATTGAGGGTGCGGCTTTCAAATCTCAGCGGCCTCTCCTTCCCATCCGCATCTACCTGAATCAGGACCCCTCCTAAGGCAGTTGGCCCGACGTCCGTCTCAACAACGAATGGCTTCTCCTCCGTGACCTCGTTGTTCGGCGCTCCCAGCACCAAGCCTCCTTCCTTGAATTCTCTCTTCATTCTTTCCACAACCTTTTCCTGGTCTTCGCCCCAGACCCACTTCTGGTCCTGACGTACCAGCTTCCTCAAATGCTCCGTCTTGGTGGCGAAGTCCTTCACAAAACTCCTCCAAAACCCGCAGGTCCCAAGGAAGCTCCTCACGTCCATTATCGATTGGAAGGGGACTGGCCACTCTAGGATGTTGTCCGTCTTCTTCACATCTGGCCTCCGCCCTTCCTCGTTGCAAACAAAGCCCAGAATCGTGGCCTCCCTCATGCAATGCTTCGACTTGGGGCCGCTCGCCGTCAGGTTGTGCTCTTCCAGCAGACCCAGAACTTGATCGATATCTTGGACGTGCTTCCAGACGAACCGCCTCACCCCTGGCATCACTTCATCTTCTTCCTTCTCTTTTGGGCCCTTGACCGCCAAATCGTCAATGTAGGGCTGAGTAATATGTGGACTAACCGTCTGCATGGCCCTAATCATGTGCCTTTGCACCATCGCCACCGCATTAGTCCACCCCTGAGGTGCCACGTTCATGTGGATCAGCCCCCTTGGCGTATGCATCGCTGTCACCGGCCTATCCGGTGGGTATACGGGAAACTGGTCATACCCAGAGTAAAGGTCTATAAGTGAGATTATAGGCCTTCCTGCGCATGACTCTGACAGGGCGTCCGCGTTTGGCAATCCTCCCGCGTCCCGCACCGTTACTACATTCAATCGTTGCAAATCCTGCACCCATCGTAGCGTTCCGTTTGGCCTGATAAAACAAAACCAAGGGAAAGCATACGGTCCGCTGGAATAATCTGCCACATACGTCCTCATCTTCCCGTCCAAGTAATCCACCACCTTTTTCTCCTCATCCGGATTCGGGTATCGCGCGCCCCTCAGGTTCCACGGCTAATGTGGGACGGTATGGATTCGTATCATTGGGATTTTATCCACGTCCAACCTCCCACGCTCGTCATCGTTAAACGCATACGCACAATGCCTCCTCTTCTGTGTTTCCACCATCAAGGTCCTTTCCTGGGGTGAAAGGAAGCCAGACTCGCCGATTATCAGCCCCTCCTCGTTCTCATTATTGATGAGGCACGGTCTTGTCTGTGCGCGCTCCCGCATACGCCTTATCAGCCCTCGCTCTCGCTCATAGTAGGCTTCTTCGTCCTCCGCGACAAGCACGGGGACCGGGCGACACTTGTTGTCTATGGTCTTGTACCGCCTTTGGGAACCCTGCTTAAGCCCTCCCCTAAAAAAGGCCGACTTGTCGTTCGGGCCTGGGCCATCGCAGGGTCTCCCCTCCTTCCTGGGAGCCGATATATCAACTCCACCTCTCCCACGTGAGGGCTTTCTAGGACCTGTTCTCTCAACGCCTTTATGGCCTCAGCCATATCATGCGCCGCCACCACCTCCATTGCCTTATTTACATCATTAAGGCTCAAGGACAGCACCTCGCCTGCTCCTTCCTCCTCCTGTTCCTCCCGGAGTCTCCGTCGCTCATACTCAGATTCCTCGAAGGTAAAGGAGCCGAGGTTGAGCCTGTTCCTTCCACTTCCGGGCCCCGTGTTCCGACACTTGATGATTTCATAGTTTCCACAAGCCGGATCAGATAGAGTCAGGATCATCGTCCGCTCATGCCTGTTGAAGACCAAGGTCTCCGTTCGGCAGAGGAACGGCCTCCCCAAAAGGATAGGGTGGTCGACGTCGGGCATGACGAAGAAGCACGTTCGCGCTCGTACTCTCCCAATCTCCACCAGCACATTAGATGCGGTATCACAGAAAATGGCCTTGCAGTTGGCGCCATGCAATACGCCATGGTCCGAGTGGTCGACCTCCAGCCTGAGCATAGTCGCATCCCGCTCCCGAATGATGTTCATTTCCGTGCCCGTGTCCACCATTGCGATGCTCGGTTGGACCCTCACCTTCAAGTCCACCAACCCACATGCCACACATTTCCAATCCATTCGGGTGCCTGCCTCTGTCCACTCTATCTCCCTGGGCAGAATTGAGCTTAGGTGGACATTGGGCACTAATCTTCGCGAGAGCCGCCCTTTTAGCTCACCACGGAGCCTTGGTGCCGAGGCCAAAATGTCCTTTAGATTCATCAAATCGTTATGGCCTTCCAGGAGCTTGTCCACCATTCGCTCCACATCAAAGCCTTCCTCCATCCGGACCTCGTACTTCTTCCTCTTTGGCACGCCATCATGCGGACTCGGCTCCGCCCCTCCCTGAGCCCCTCTCTTCTTGGCCCTCTGTTCCACCCTCCGGTCCTCTTCCTGTCGAAGCCTCTTGTCCTCTTCGTCATCACCCTCATCTTCCTCTTCTTGAACCTCTACCACTTCCTTCCTTCGTTCGGGTTGAGGGTCCTTTCGAGGGAGCGCCTGACTAGGTGCTTGGCTAGGCCCCTGACTGGCGGTAGCCTTGCTTTGGCCCCTAGTCTGCGCAGCCTGTGGTACCCTTCCATGCGACGTAGGGGGCCTGAAGGTCATCCCTGACCTAGTGCCTGTCCCAGCCGTAGCCACACTTGGACACCCTTGTGGTCCTGACGACGATTCCGGACCGGACCCATAGAGCATCACCTCCGGAAGGCTCATTTCCCACTCCCGGGCCTTTTCACACATTGCCCTTAGTCATTCCTGATACCTGCCGACCTTTGCAAACAGGTCCTCCATCCTCTCCAGGATGGTCAAGGCTGACTCTCTCACCACTTTCTGCGCCTTATCGTCAGACTCAACGACTATGGGCTCCTCCTTTATAGTCCCTGCCTTCAACTGCTGAGTAACTTCCTCATTTTCGCCCACAATCTCCTCGACTCTTATGCCGGGGTCTTGCCTTTCCTGCCATATCCTAAACATTGTTGGGGCTTCTGGAGGCCCCGCCGCTGCCCGCCTGAGGGCCTCCTGCCTGATTCCTCCCGGGGTCTTGGGGTCAATGTGCGTTCCCCACCGATCGTATATATCCCCGTCCATACAGGTGGAGATTAATCCTTCCTTTTCGTCGTCCCGCCGCTGTTGGCAGAATCGTACGGTGTGGCCCACCTCGCCACAATGCCAACAAGTTGCGTTCCGCCAGTCGAAGCAGGGTCTCCCGTACCCTTGGCCGCCTTAGCCACCTTGGTTCTGACCCCCTTGACCATTCCGGCCTCCTCCACGGCCTCCACCATTTCCTCCTTGCCCCCGGCCATCCCCTCCTCTACCTCCTTGGCCCCGGCCCCCATTGCCCTGCCCGCCTTGTCCTAGGCCTCCTCCCTCGGCCACACTGGCTTGCGAGGCCTGCTGGGAGGGCGGCGGTTGAGCCACGGGCTGGCTTCGAGTCGCCGGGTAGCTCGGGGGGCCCATACTTGCGGATGGAACTGAATAGGGGACCATGTGCCCCGCGTGGGCCTGACTCCCTCCACACGAGACACAGTGGTTGCCACTGGGCCAGGGCGCGGACTGACAATGCGGCACCCAGTGCCCGCAGGTTGGTGGCGGCCCCATATGCGTTGGTCCTGCCGACGCTGGCGCGACCGCGGTGACAGGCGGTGGTGCGGCAATGGCTTGGGGAGCCTGTCCCTTCCTTGACCCCTGCCCTCCTTGCAGCAGATTGCGCTGCTTCCTCTGGGCCTTAGTCAGGGCTTGGGAACCTGTCTCCCCTCCTCCGTAGTCTTCTTGCCCAGCCTCCTCATCTACTGCCCCTGACGCCCGGCCTTGGGCCACTAACACCCCTCTTTTCTGTATCTCCGCTGCATAATCATACCCCAGTGCCGCCAGCACGTCCGTAACTATTCTCTTCACCCCTGGGGTCCCGGATGCGGTAACATCCCTCTCCTTCCTCTTGCGCCTTTGCAGCCTCATTTGGTGTTGCTCCACCTGGTTCAGGCTCCCTTCTTCTACTCCCTTGTCAATGGTTGCCCAGGTGAGCCTCTCGCTTCCTTCCCCATACTTTGTCAACTCTGTGGCCTCCGAGCCTGTAAGCAACCCCAAAAATGTAGCGCACTGCGCCTCCTCATAAATCCCATGCACTTTCCTTGCCCTTTTCTTGAACTCGTGCACAAATGCCCCAATGGTAGAGAAGTCTTCTTTGTTCATGGCCTCCAAGTCGGCCATGGTCAGCAGGCCGTCCCCCAGACTATACTTCCTTTGCATTAGGTCTCCAAACCTTGCCCAACTGCCACCGGCGGCGTCCACAACCTTAGTTACTTCCCGATGGTGATTGTGCAGGACATAACTCAGGACCCGCTGGAGCTTGACCTCATCTGACAGTCCCACCAGCGCCTGCTCCGTCAGATCCAACCAATCAAATACGCGTTCCACCTTGAAGTGGAATGTCTCGACCTTTGGGACGTTGCTCGGCACCCTCTCACGTTTGTCCAGGGCGTCGATGAGGTCATCGAGAGTCACAAGCTTCCTCCCACCGTTCGCCATCTCCTCTGGCATTTTGGCCAACCGCCTTCAGCTTCAATCTCCCTGTTATAAGAGACAATGGGACAGAGGACCCCACTCAACGACTCACCCTTTCATGATCTTATCGGGTTGACCACCTTAGACACCCCACACTCTAGATCTGGCAGGCATTCCTTCTCCCACTCCCGTTCGCTCACCTAGATAACGCTTATCCTTACCATAAAACTTCCTCATCCACATACAGTTGTCAACCAAGCCGCTAATCAATCAATCATTCATCCCCCAATCATATAGATCACCATACAGTCCATCTCATAATCCCTCTTTTACTCACTCATATGCCTAGTTTTCCCTCACTCTCGTACCCGGATGTCGTTCCACCAAGGACAATGGTAGGCTTCCGTTATCTCCGGCAACGGCGCCACCTTTCACGCGCATCGGTTCGGCACCGCACGCGGCGGCGCGGGACCCTCTCGGCCGCGTCACGCAGGAGTTGGACGTACCTCGTCACGAAGACGCAGATGGAGCTTCCTTAGGCCGCTCCGGCCGAGTGCGCCAGCCATACCTCTCACGAGCCCCTACGACAGGATAGGGCCTACGCGAGGCACAACTTACCTCCAC